CGTCCGGGACCCCGCTCGCCCGGCCCGGCGGCCCGGTCTCCCCGGTGCCTGCCCGTACGTCCCCGGGAGGTGCCGGTACCCCGGCGCGGCTGGTTGCATGCTCCCTCCCGCTGCCCAGCGCTTGGCTGTCCGGTGGCTGAACATCCGAAGGGGTGAACCTGATAAGTCCCGGCTGACTTATAACTACTATAGTTAACAACCAGCGTCAACTCGGTTACCTCTCCTCTGTCTACAGTGACCGAGTAAGCCCTGACGGTGACTTCGTGCCCTGTTTTTTATATTCAGTGTTTTCTGTAGCTGGGTAGAAAGGAGTGCCGGGCATACCCACAGCGCAGGGCACCCCACCGGGAAGGGGAGATGCTGTATCCTCCAGTCTCTTCACATACAGCTTTGTTTTTCGTCGCTATCGGTGGGTAATCAGTGCATCAGCTACAAGAGAAGCCACCGAGTTGTAAGGGAAAGGCAAGAGGAACTTCGCTTCTGACACGGGGCAGACGAAGCGTTACGCGCGGCTTGCTTCCTTCTTGGGAGTCTGTTACCAGACAGACGCTGGCTGTGGGATGACTGCAGCCTTGGGGGTGGTTCGGCCAGGAGGCAGCTTACCCTGGCTTTGCTCGCAGTTCACCACGTAAAAAATTCGGTCGAATTGTACCAAGGCTTTTGACGTTACGTAACATCATGTTAAAACCACCTGGTGTTATAAAACAGCAAAATCTTGCAGCAAAACAGGGATTCTGGGGTCTGGGTGGGCCTGGCTCCCCCGGCCAGGGTCTGACTGGGAGAAAGGAGAAACCTGGGAATTTCTTCAAATAATCGGAGCGGTTTTTGTAACAGGTAGCTCAAAGTGATGCGCAAGCAAGTTTTCAACAACCTAATGAGGAAAGTATCACATGATTAGTAACTATTTCTCATCATTGATGAGCCAGTTGCCGTGCAGCAATTTAAACTGTGAATGCAGGCAGATACTGCTAATTTCTTCAAAGACTGAAGTTAGGAATTTTTTTTTTCCAGCCTGCTTGTTGGTAAGACTGTGCTGATGAGCATAAATTACCTTCTTTTTTATTCTTGCCCACTACTTCTCTACCAGTTGACCCCAAAAGACATTTCCAGCCCTTTGCCTGGGACTGATGCAGGACCGTTGGTGTACCAAGATCTGAATCGTTCCGCTCGCTCTTTCAGCACGTCGGCATGCTTGCTGTCTTCCAGCCCTTCGGCATTTTTCTGGTACTGGAACCATTATCAAAAATACCGCAAGTGAGCTAGAGACCGCCTCCTTTTCTTTCAGCACGCTCGTGTGCAAGTTAGTCAGACTAATTGAAATCGCTTATCCCTCTTAGATGTTAATTTAACATCCTCTTTAGTTACTAAGGAACAGTGAGCGTGGTGCAGAGGTACCTCAGGTCAGCTCAGGTCCAGCAGAGCTTCTTAGTGCTGGTTTTGCAATGCCACCCCTGACCTGCTGCCTGTATTGTACTCCCTAGCATCTGTTGCACCCGAGTTTTCCGTGAAGCAGAGCAGCCCACCTCTCTGTTGTTAAAAGCTCATCCTGGCTCCGTGGCATGCGAAAAGCAACAACTAATAATCCAACACAAACTGAAAAAAGGAGAAATCGCTTCTGAGCTCCTAACCGTTGTGCAAACAGGAATCAGAAACATCAGGAACTTTCCAGGTTATGGTTCGTAACTCATCTTTGCAGTTAAATCTTGCTTTCTCTT